GAAATTTGCCGCTGACTTATTCCACCACCTGCTTGACCAACTATCCTTCCTCTAACAAAATCTGACAATTCGAGAGAACCTTGAGTTCTAGGCATATTGTAGCACAAGATAATTAGTGTGCAGATCATTTTCATTTATATAGTGCTCTGTGAACACACATTAGTTAGCATAAATCAATTAAATGACGAAAAATTAGGTGTCTATTTACTTGTGCCCACTCAGTGTATATCTAAGTTCACTTACTAGTTTTAACAATACCTTTCTCCTTTGAGTTTCAACATTGTCCTTAAAAATGTTTATCGTAGTACTTAAGCTTATTGTTATTTGTAATTTTAATTTTGTATCCACTATAGGAATTTACTTAAGACTGAGTGTATATAATTCCGAAACGTTTATTAAATATCTTGTTATTCGTCACTTCTTTCGTTGTGTTTTTCATCATTAGATCACGTTTTCCAACTCCTGGTTTGCTGACTTGTGATGTTCAGTAGCATCACAGTAACAAAGTTAACTTGTTACAAATATTTCACGGTATAAACATATTGACTTTGTATTCATTAAACAGACCTGCTTGAAGTTTTGTGTTGGACGATGTTTTAGTATAATACGCGAGTTTTATTTTTAAACAATTTCTGAATTGTTACCAAGAAAATAGCAAGAGCCTTGAAAGTTTTTCGTCTAGTCTACTATTAAGATACTCGGTCAGGTACAGTGAAAATTCCTTTAAAATATAAACATTTTTTGAGGTTGACTTCAAAGCTGGGTAAAATAACTGTAATTTTTGAGGTATGCTCTCAACTTACCTTATATCGGAAATATTGAATGGTAAATCTTATCTATACAAAAGCATACTACATTCTGAGATATAGTAAAGATGACCACATACCAAACGTGTTTAGATTAATATCTTCGTAAACACATGTACGAATGAGAAGACATTTAAAGTTTGGTACATTTCTAAATATACAGCATCATTAATTCGTTTTTAGACTTATCCACCTACACTTCTTATGCTCACTATATGGTTTCAATGTTTAAACTTACTTATGTTATAGTAAATAACATACGCAGTGGACAGATAGATACCTGGCAACTGGGAACGATCTTTCAACTATTAAATACCTTGATAATCCAGAAATTATAATATTGATAAGCTACGATCACCTCTCACTTGACTTAGAGGTCTGGTTGTAATTATGCACAAAGCTACACAATGGGCTATCTGTGCTCTGCCCACCACGGATATCGAAACCCGGTTTGTAGCGTTGTAAGTCCACAGACATACCGCTGTGCTAACTTAGAGGATGGGTAATAGTAAATTACGAAACTGATTTGTCTACGACCCTGATGAAACGATCTCGATAAGACGTTTTGTTCTGAAAAATAAATACCGATCGTCATTTTGGTTTAGTGCCGACCCACCTGTGTGTATTCGCTACAAGCTGCCAGGAATGATATTTGAAATACAAGACACAAGGCACTCCATAAAGATATATTTTTTACATTATCATTAGTATTATTACCATTATTATTATTACTTATTAATATTGTTGTCATTGTTATAATTATTATTTATTGTCATCATTATTATTATTAATAATGTTGTTGTAGCTCATAAATATTCAAATTTGTGGACTGCCAGGTATTTAGTATTTCAGAACGTTTGTTTGTTGTGAATTTCGCGCAAAGCTACACGAGGGCTATCTGACTAGAGGGAAGGCAGCTAGTCATCACCACCCACCGCCAACTCTTGGGCTACTCTTTTACCAACGAATAGTGGGATTGACCGTTACATTATAACGCCCCCACGGCTGAAAGGGCGAACATGTTTGGTGTGAAGGGGATTCGAACCCGCAACCCTCAGATTGCGAGTCAATAACTTCATTTCAAAAGTGGTTATTAGGCGTTTTTTTATATTTAATATGTAAACTATTTAATTGATAAATTCACAATAATCACGTAACAAAATCGAAACAAACTGCTGATCATAAGTAACATCAAAAGCCATGAACAGTGTCATTTTCACCAATATTTCTGACCTTCTGTAAATTACAAAACAAGAATTGTCATATACAATTTTATATGAAAGGACGTATTTCAGTTTAAAAATTTGTACTACAGTTGCTCAGCTAACTATATTTTAAATTG